AATATTTTTGCCAGATATTCGGGGCGAGAGCGATAGGTCCATGAGTCAGGAACTAATGCACTTTATTCAAGAATAACGACGGTGGATAGCAATATCGGGGTAACCACGGTGCAAACTAATCGCAGTAATCTCCGATACCTTGTAACTCAGCGTCAACTGGTTTGCCACGGTCGGTCCATTAATATCGGCGATATCTAGGTTGGGCGGAAGGCGGTAGGTGATAGGACGGAAAGTAGACGACGGTGAATTATGGTTTAAATCACTTCGCCGCCAATAAAATTCATCGCCAGCGATCGCCAGATTACGTCTGACGCGAGACGGCGATCTTTCACGAAACTTGATCAGGGGGATGAGAATTAACACGGGGATCCGAGAATTAACATTCGTTAATCGATCGATCGATCAAATCGATCTGAATAACGCGTAAACATGGAAGAGACGGAGAGTCGACAGGTGGATCCTCCAAATCTCTCGGAAGAAATCGCTCGGGTTTAGAAGGCGCCACGCGCTCCTCCCCTTCGACTAGCTTTTGCGAGCTTGCTCCATTAATTTGTCTGCGTTACCCGTTACGCGTAGTGGAGTAATATCGATAGTATCTGTACGTGCGCGGGTGTGGGGGGGGGGGGGGGGGGGGGTTAGGGGTTAGGGGGGCCGAGAGCGGTGGGAAGGAGCGTGGACGAGGTGCGGATTCATCGGTTACGCTGCTCGGGCTCTGACGTCACGTCGCTTGTACGCAAGTTTACCACCACCAGCGTCGGCTGTGCTGGTCGGTGTTACTACTCCTACTACAGTATTCGCTGCTGCCACTACTACTATTACTACTACTACTGGTACTATCGGTGTCACTACCATCGAACGTCGGCAGCGTCACACAGTGTGTGGGGGGTGTACTTGTGGCTCCAATACCCACGCGTTCCTTGATACACATCGTTCATACCTACGTACGTTCGCGTACGTGCGTTCGTGTATTCGACGTCACTGTCGCCCTCAACGTCGCCCACCACCCTCGCTGCCTGTCGTTACGACTGTGTCAGTATGTGTGTGTGTGTGTGTTGGCGACACTCACCATTTAGAAACGCGCGCGTCGACTGCACTCTTCGCTCTACGCAACACCATCGGGGATAGTCGCCGCTGGCAGCAGCGCTACCGGGGAGACCCACCACGTTCGCGCTCGAGCCCGTGTACCACGTTGCATTACGGCGGCTCCCTGTTTACCACCACAAACTAGTCGACGCTCGGTACACACGTGTGTACAACGTGGACAAGGACAGAGGTAAACCGAATGACGATACGAGCTGGCGGGTTGAAAGAGAGACAGCAGGAGGGTGAAAGAAGAACAGAGCGCCGAGCTACAAGTCGTAGCCGAGAGGGATACGCCGTGCTTGTTTTCTTCGTTTCGTTTTCTTTCCTCCTTCTCTCTTTTCGGCCCCTCTGTGCCCTCTTTCTCCGTCTCGGGCAGGTGCTCGCTCGAATTGCTGCTGCCGCTGCTGCTGCTGCTGCTGCTGCTGAACCGGTAAAGGAGCGAAAAAGAGGAAAGAGGGAAACGAGAGACAGAGACGGGAAAGCACAGCAGCAACGAGAGAGCCGATACTTAATCCTCCCTTCGTTGGCCCACCCTCGGCAGGAAATCAATAGAGAGGGACTCGTTCTATCCCTCCTTCCCCCTTTCTCTCTCTCTCTCTCTCTCTCTCTCTTGTTTTCTTTCTTTCTTTCTGGCTCTGTTTCGGCCTCGCTTTTCGTCCTTTCTTTCTCGCGCTCTCTCCCCACCCCCCCTTTCTCTTCATTTTTTAACGTGCGAACATCGAACATCGACATTGCTCGAACTTTCAAATTTCTCCCTCTCGTTCTTTTTTTTTTTTCTTCCTCCGTTCCAACCCGCGTAGAATCGATTCTAATCGCGTCGCAACGATCGTTCTGTTCGATCGCCACACTCTGCCCGGTGTCGCTTTTCTATGCAACAATTTCGATCGACAACGTCCGATTTGTTTGACAGAGAGATCGTTACTCCACTTGGACGTTGGGTCCACTCTCTTTACCCGGCAGTCAAGATAATTGGATCAAAGGTTATCGATATCGCGGGGATTAAAGCACGATCCTGCAAGGGGTTCCCATCGAAACAGATTATCCTTTTTTGCTAGGAAAAAGAAACTTCGGCCTGGCTGGACCGTGGCAGCAAGCAGTCTTTCAAAACGATTCAGGTGGCTTTCTTCGAAACAGGAGGTCGAGTTACATTGGCTCGCCTCTTTCCTCCGAGCCCTTTAAACCGAAACAACCGTGTGTCGCGCAACAATGGATCGATGTCCGACCATCGGCGAACGAGCCGAACGTTCCTGTTCATCGGCTTTGAAACGTGTCCGGGGCAAAAAGGCGACCGGCGGTAACTTTCGTTCGCGTTCGTCAAAATAAACGGCTCGCCTGGACCAGAGAAAGACGAAACAAAAGTCGTCGCGACGCAAAGAAGCAACCGATCGAGAAATGTGTCTCTCTCGCGCCGATCGAGGGATGGAAAGAAACGGAGGAAGCGACGCCTTTCTTCGTGGGCGGTGAAAATCGGAATTTCGTTTTTATCTGACCGGCGTGTGGCGCACAGCGTGACGGGCGAGAGGACGGGGCGCTGAAAGGAGAGATACGCGGTGATGGGCGGCGCGTACGCGTGACGTAGCGGAAGTTGTGCGTCACCAGTGACGTAGGCTACATCGAAAGAGGAGGAACGTCCGAAAGAGGCCATTGACGAGAGGACTTGTTGCACGTCCTTTTCTGCGTGGGCTCCGACGTTTCTTGATCCTGTTGCCGGAACAACAACCGTCATACGTCGAACGTAATTCCGCTTTCAATTAGGAAACCCGGCTATTTTCGTTTCTTCGTCTTTCTCCTGGAATCAAATCCTTATCTTCCTTATCTTCTGAGTTTTTCAACAAAACTCGTCCTCCCTCGCGTAAAGACGGAGCGAACTAACGCAAACTTGTTGCGCGTTAACTGTTTTTACTTTTCGACGTATTCTTGAACGTCGGAGCGTGGCATCCGCAAGTCGTTCCGTTGGATCGACTGGGGAGTAACGTGTGTGATTCTGAATCTCATTTCAATTAGACTTGAAGCAAAAGAATCTTCGTTTCATTCGACGCAGCTTAAGAGAGTAGAGAGCACGTAAGACGCAGAGAGCAGAGCAGCGTAGACTTGTTGCACACCCATTCGCGCATGTGTGAAATGGGGAAAGTCTGCCGTCGTGTTTTACGACAACCGAGGGCGTAAATCCTTCTTGATCGATTTGATGGCTGGTCCGGATGGCTCGTCTCTCAGACGCGATTTGCCTGCGAGCTGACATGGATTTCGAAGCTGTTATAACCGGCGTTCCACGCGACTCGGCGCGAGCCGCGACCGTGTCTGCCTCTCGAATCGACAAAATCGAAGTCTTGGCGCCATGGCGTTTCCCTGGCAACTTCGCCGTCCCTCGTCTACGAAATTTAAAAGTAGCTTTCAGCTCCGCTCTCGATCGAGCGCCTCGTATCTTTTTTCGAATCGAACCACCAGGCTCCTAGAGCAGCCTAGTGTCACGCGACTATAATTCGTTCCTGTAAATGACTAATTTGTCACTTGGTTCATTTCTCATCATTCTCTTTCGTCCTGCGTCTTTCGATCGTCGCGCTAGGTCTTTCGAACTTACAAGAGGGTTCCCCGAAACGATTTGAATATTTTCACACCAACGAAGATAAAAGTAGAAACAAAGATCAGACGACGAGAATTTTATGCGTACGAATAACCTTACGAGATTATTGATTCGGCATACATTACCGCTAGAAAACGCTGAATTCAGGATGTATTCCTTCGACAAGGTCCGTTTCAAGTGCAAAATTTGAACGTGGTTTTTCTTCCTCCCTCGATTCGAACGCGACATTCAATCGCGTGGTCGTTTGTCAAATTACGCTCGAAACTGTGAAACTGTGTGTCGAGAAACAGGACTAGACCGCAATGTCGGCGTTTCCTGTTTTTCTGCTTCTGTGCGGTTGCAAGGCGTGTTTCCTGTACAGACGAAGGAGTAATTGAAATTTCGATATTTTTCAACGGGTGCGTCCGTCACGTGTGCCATTAGCCGATGGACAAGCGTTTTGCACGTCTATTTACGAGAAATTAACGAAACGTAATCTTATCATTAAGTGTCATTTTCAACGACGATAAAATTCATTCTGTCTCCTGTAGATTATATAAACGGCGACACGGCAAGTCTGCGTGAGCTAAGCTGCAGCTTTCGAGACGCGAGCGCGTGGATGATGAAGTATTAATATTTAGCGTCCTTTGACAAATAACGCTTCCTTTTTCCTTTTTCATTTTTTGACGAGAGCGATTAATCGATTTCCACGCGATTAATCGATTTCAACGAAAAATAATGTGTACCGACTGTCACGAATCAGTTACCGTTCGTTACGATACGAGCCAGTATATTTGATTATTTGCATAACCGAGTAACGGCTCGAAATGAATATGATTAATATTTATCATCGCGCGTGTAATGCATTTACGTTCGATCCGTGTCGCTTGAGTAAGGTTGTGTACGAGTGGGAATTTCAATCGCATCGCTTGGCGAATCGAACAAAACTCGGCCGCCGAGAGGAATTTCCAACGATATAAAAAAAGATATTGCACGCCAAATTTTCTCGTCAAATGCCAAAGTGACGTTCATCGACCAACTGATTGAACTCGTATTTTTTCTCTTCATCGAATGAGCTGAGAAACGAACAGCGTCTGTTTTAAGCACGCGACAGGCGATATATTTTATCCGCGCGTCTGTCGCTTTCTCCACGTGAGGAAACGTCCGAAATGAAATTAAAAGTCAGAATTTCACGCGGGTGAAGTTGGGCTGGTTTGCAAGTCGTCGGTAAAACAGAGCGAGCTCGGTCGTGGTGTCGCGCAACGCCACGAGATGGCGGCAACGGAACAGGTGCCCTCGACCAATCGGCGTGCGCGCAATCCCCCTTGTCCATCTACCGATTGGCGCTCTGGCGGTGTCACGAATCACGAACAGCGATCGCAATATGGCTTCCGCCACCGCTAGCAAGTGAGAGTACCTCCGAAGGTGACATCGAAACATGGTGAAATATTCAAAGGTGCGCGAGGCGTCGCGCGTGTGAAAATCGTTCGTGCGTCCCTATTGAGAATCGTGTGCCGCGGGATCGATCGTCTGCCGTGGAAATAACGCGTACGCTCGAAAAACAAAACATTACTGGCGGAGCGAGAGAGAGAGAGAAGGAGACACACACACTACACGACATACACTGTGTTCTGTCTCTCGGCGAAGCGAGACGAACTGCACGCACGGGTCTGTAGTTGGAAAAGGACAGAGTGACAGTGCGATACATCGGTTCGTTACGCTGGAGGTTTCTGACACGACGTACTGTGCACGTCGGTTGAAAAAGCACGGAAATACCGTGAGAGAGCGTGTGTGTGTGTGTGTGTGTGAGAGAGAGAGAGAGAAAGAGAGAGAGAGAGAGCGAGTGAGAGTGAGAGAGGTCGGGACTGCGATCATCGGAGACGCGGTGACGCGAACGCTGTAATCGAGGGAAAAGGGAAAAGAAAAGAAAGATAAAGATAAAGGAGAGTATCAAATCTTTGGATGGTTGTGAAGCGCGGTGCGCGCGACTCACGTCGAAAGCGTGGCCCTGCCGATGTGTGTTACGACGTCCCGTACAACACGCCGTATCGCCCCGACTGCCGTGTGTACGTGAGATCTCTTTCGGTGGTGGACGTTGAAAGGAGACAGGCAGACGGGTGGACGAGCGTGGAAGAATGAGAAAAAGAGTAGAGAGGCACAGGGTGTACATCGACGAGCAGCAGCACGACGACGTAACAGAGAGAAGAAGAGGCAAAAGAAGAGCGAGCGAGTGAGTGAGCCGGGGCGACGTTGCCAGAGTTTTCCTTCTCGCTGTTCCCTACTGTACAGCACGTCCCTTCGTGTGCCCGCGAGAAAGACCGAAACGGAGAATAATGTGACAACGAGAGCGAGAGGAAACTAGAGTGCGAAACAGCCGCCCAGCGCAGTGAGACAGAGAAGACAACCCGGGGCCTGTATAATCGAGTAAGCGTGGTGACTCGCGGGGAAACGATCCGCGAAACTTTTCTTTTTTTTAACGCTCGATAATTCTCGCCGATCTCTCGCTCGATTCGACCGATTCTCGCGGCGAGTTTCGTTCGTGATCCTCTTAGACGTGATCTGCGAATGCCACGAGACGACTCCCAATGACGTACACACGAAACACGTGACACGCCGAGTTGGGCCGATCGACAAGCCATGAAGAAGCCACGGTGAGTTTCTACATCTACAGTCTTGTTGTCCCGTCGTTCGTGCGACGAGTATATTATATCAACTCGGTCAATTCGGTTGCCAAATAAAAAATTTACCCGTCTTTCGATTGAAGGAAAACACACACATACACATATGAAAACATTTTGCACGGCGAAACGTTGCCCTATTACTAGAGAGCTAGAGACGTCCGATGCGTTTTGGGGAATGTGGCGCCTTTAATAAACGATGGCACGACGCGACGTAACAACTCGCCTTAAATAGGGGTTAGCCTCGGCGCTTGTAGCGGGTGTCAGCGAATTTTCCGGCTGTCGGGGGAATTTAGATTCGCGGCTACGTCACTGCGTGCAGAACGCTGTGTCGTGTGTTCGCGTCGTGGTGGTGAAACGACGCGATTATGGGGGGATGAGTCAGAAGATTGACGCCTTGTTGTTTATCGATCTCGACACGGCTGGGATGCTCGGTAATCGCATCGGTATTAATACGACAACGTATCGTTGCAAAACGAACGCCGATCTTTTCGTTCAAACACACGTCCGACGTAATTAAATCCCCCCCCCCCCTCATCCTCCCCCTCCTCCTCTTCTCACGCGTGTCATCATCTTCGACCTATTCGCCGCAAACCGAGAGGGTTGCGGTCCTCGTTGCCCATTAATTCACGGACGATTCCATCTTCCAACAACAGCCTCTATTTTTAGCGGGGCATCTACGAGTCCTACTTAATTATCTCGGCTATTGCTAGGAACTGCGTGGGGGGGCCCGCCAGATACGCGTTTCCCTGTGTGATTTCCCTTCCTCTTCCTCCTCCTTTTCGCTCCGACTTTTCCAAACGGTGTTTCGCAATCGACTAAACGATCGGAAGAAGACCGAGAGCGCGACGAGCGTCGAATTGTATCGACAGGGCTAAGCGGATGTGTGACAAACGAAGGAAAACGAGAGAGGAAAAAAAAGACGGGCTCTCACCTCTCTTGGGGACACGTGCGAGGCTTCGCGCCCCGCGAACCGTCAATTCTCGGGACACGAGCGACCGAATTAAAAAGCGACGAGAACGCTCTGAATACGCTCGATTCGAACGAGTTGCGTAGGTTGCTGAATTATACGACGGATACGGGGGAACGTTGAGATGAAAGAATCGCTGCTGTCGTTTAGGGGCGATTATCTGGGTAGTCTCTTGTACACCTAGATTTCTCTCTGATTTTACGACCACGATCACGTTGCATTCAACGTTTGTCCCTCTGGACACCAAGGACCAAATTTGACGTTATTAGAAGGCTAAGAGGGATTTGCATAGAATTACGCTCTTTACTTGGTTCTTTACCCAGCTTTTACAGGCCTTTAAGCAGCGACTTAGGTTGTGTTACTGCCTTCATTTTCTTCGTCGTTTTCCAAAGTGAAATCCATCGAGGGCGTCTAAATTTTACGATTTGTTACGAGCCAGTATAGAGAATCGACACTCGAGGAATAGAGAAAGATATTCGCTGTGTAATTACTAGCGATAATAAGGTAGCCACGAACAACGTGAACGAAATCCTCGGCCTTGAGGATATCGTCGTTATTCGCCGTTTTATTATGTATTAATTTACTTCTGAGAATATTCGCGTGAATAATCGATCGGCCGTAGTTTGTTTCACGATGCATTGCTGCGAAAAGTAATTGCGATCGTCGCCCCGTTTTCTCCACGATCCAGAAATTCCGACAAGTTGCAAGGAAAATAAATAATTTCATTTATTGTTTGCCACAAGTCGACACACATTTGTCACGTGCAACTGCCAGCGACTTTGTACATTTTTGTCGAATTAGTTAGGTGTCGTATCTGTCGAGTTGAATAGACCAGCTCAGGTCAGGTAGCTGATTCAGAGTACAATTTTCTCATTGTCTGTCAATTAAACCAGTGACGTTAATCGGGCGATAATTGGTTAGCCGTAAAGTTCTAGTTGTTTCGAAGAAACTAGAACACGCTCGTTGTTACACGCGCACATAACGAGATCGGTTCGACTTTAAATTTTGAATCGAGCGAAACGAAGATCGAGAGTGTGACACGGATTAGGTAAATAGATCGATAAGAGTTCAAGATTTAAAAGAAAAAAAATACTAGTGCTTGCGAGATGAATTTTTTACATTCCTACATTTCGCGCTTTCACCGATCTCGTCCGGTTGATTCGAAATCGATCATTGTTTATTAGCGTCGAGACTAGATTGGTAGGCGAGTTGCTTCGCCGCAGTGGCGAGTTTTTCTTTTTTTTTTTGCCGCGGCAACATATTCTGAAACGCGTTCTCGTTTTCCCAGCTGACACTTGTCTCGACGCCGGACCTCGGTGCAAGTTACTCTGTTTGGACCGCGAGTTTGCGCGATGAGAAATTTCAATCGGCACGCACCACCGAGCTGCGTGTGTTCGTTTCTTTTGGTATCGGGTCTCGTAACCCGTCCAATCTCTGTTTTTACTCGCGTTTCTGTTCTCCGATAACCAAATCTACACGCATCTCTACAGTCGACTCGATAGCGAGAAGGTTGAAACGTTGGAATTACTCGACGGTCAATTTCCCTAAAAATCACGTTCGTAATGAAAATCGTGTTTTTTCGTTAATCGCTCCTATATATTTATTGAAAGAGAAACGTGTACACGTTATCGTGTTTAAAAGCGCGATAGAGGCTTACAGTAATTTGCAGCACGTTCTGAAAAATGAAATTACCGAAATTATTGGGAAATAGAGTTGCCTCCTACGGCTTTAATTCGCGCTCGAAATTAGTGATAGTACAAGATGAAGTATCGCGAATTAACTGTCAATGGTTTAAAGGTACAAGCAAAGGCAAACTCGCATAAAGGAACCGAACACTTTACGCTTTAATAACGATCTTTGCCGCAATATATATATACGCGGCATTCGATCCAATGAGTAAAAAATGCTGTGCCGTGTATATCAACACGTGTCGATCACTGGTGACAAACAAATTTAGCACGCATATATTAAAAATTGAGAAACGAAAATTGCAGGAGAGAATAGCATCTTTTATTGACGTTTATTATATAAACAGTATATAGTGTAACAACGCAATAGCAAATTTCAATTTTTTGGGGGGGTTTTGTTAAAACAGTTTAGGCTGGTAATGATGTGGTTTTCCTTTTGCACCCATCGCCGAATGTCTTTCAATTTTTACAAAATTTTCTGACTTGGGACTTGAGTCGTACAGTGATGTTGCGTTTTTCTTACCGCGTAAACTGTATCAAACGGCATAAACAAAGTACACACGGCACTTGACACGAAGCGCGAGTGGTTTCAAAAGGCGCGCGTTATGGTTCTCCGCGCAGGCGCGCTCGCTAACTCGTTCCAGGGTCCGATCTAAAACTTGCGCATACCTTTAGAACACTTGAAGTATGCCCGGTGGTGGTGAATGCCTAGCAGGCCGACACAGGGGACATAAAGTATGCAGAAAACGAGCACCGTTCCACGCTTGATTTTATTGCTTATTCACCCCGGCTATAGCCGCGATGCCCGCCCGCTTCTCTCTCTCTCTCTCTCTCTCTCTCTCTCTCTCTCTCTCTCTCTTTCTCTCGTACGTGCTTCGAGTAGGTAAGAAATAGAGGGAAAATACGGCTCGATGCCCATAAAATCCCGCGGACCATTATCGCAATTTACCCGCTATCGACTCGCCGAGATCTAATTCAATCTCTCCCTTTAGACTCTCTCGCAGTTTCTGTTTCGCGTCTAATTTCACGGCTCGCGAGATCCTCGTCTGTTCGCGGTCGCGCGATTAAATCGTAATCGTGGTGCTCGATTGCCACGGGTTGTCGTTCGAGTCATAAAAATCCGCAGTATCTGTATGTAAACCATTACCATTATCGTGAATAACGGTCTTCGACATCGTGCGATGTCTAATTCTCGTGGCTCGTCGACCCGATAATGTCGCGGGCTCTCGATCCGCGCGAATCTTTCATCGTTTCGTTCGTCGGCACGTCGGTCGTAAATGTCTTTTATCGTGACAAAAGCAATGATTTCGACCGGAACTATTTATAACACAACTGTAACACGTTGTTCACTCTTGACGGGATCGTCTATAAAAATTACGATCCTCATTGAAGAGCAGTAACAGCTTGCGCTGGCGAGGGATATAATTATCCGCGGTATGGTTGTTCGTCTTGGTGTTCGCGGGAGCCCACGGGCGATATGGAGACGAGCGGTGGAATCGAATGAATTTTTATGCGATCGTGCGGCATGTGGTGGCGTCGCGCCACGGTTTTGGCTCGAAAAAGAGGCAGGTGATGCTTCGGAGGTAAAATGCGAATGCGTCGAATGAAAGGGGGTGAAAGAGAGACGAAAAGACAGAGAGAGAGAAAGAGAATTAGTTCGGAGGGCAGGCATTTGCAGCATTGCCAGCGGAGCGTGTTCGTATGCGTGCGTTCGTTTCCGCGCGATTTGTAATGCAGTGTAACGTGTTTCAGCCGCTTAGCACGGCCGCGTTACCTGCCTTTGTATTTGCAAACACCGTGTTGTCGGACGTAAACGCGTTCGTCGTCGATGCGCGCAGGGGCCGGCCGAGAAAATACTTCGCTCGGTTCCTTTCCCATCTCTATTTCTGAACTTTTCTTCATTTTCGCGAAATGGAGAACGACGAGCCGGAAGCCAATCGACGAGAGATTATTAACCAGCTCGCTACGATGTAGCCGAGTTTCGATCGATCGTCGTGCAATCGACTGTCTCGCGGTGTTTTGTCGAACAAGCGGCACTCGCGAGCACTTTCGTCGCGCTGCTCGCGAGCTACGCCGTAAACAGCGGCATAAACTCTGGTGAAATTGTCAGAACGCGTGGATGTATACAGGGTGGTTCACCACATATTACGTCATTATTATTACGCGTAGCGAAAAATGTTTCGAGAGGGGCACATTTTGATGATACTAGTTGTCTTGTAGGTGGACGTATGGACATTTTTTTTTTAAATGGAATCATATACTTTTTATTGCATCAGTCGATGCACCTTGATATTCTTTACAAAAAAGTATTAACC